GTAGTTTTAAAAAGAAAAACTAGAACAAAAACAAAAATTACTAAAAACAAAAAAACGTAAAACAAAAGAAAAAGTGAAACACAGAAAAAAACTGCAAAAACAAGTATAAATTTGACACTTAAATAGGAAAGCAAAAACAAAAACGCAAAAAAAAACAAAGTTAAAAAGAAAACGGAGAACTGCTGTAAAATTTATACATACATACATAATTGATTACGCATAAGTGTAGCATAAATTTTCATAAACGTTTTCAACAAACATAAAAAAGAAAAAGAGCGTAAGCATTAATTGCGTAAAAGATTATAATGAATTATAACAGAAAAAAATAACAAACAAAAAAATTGAAAATTGCTATGCAAATTATTGTTTAACTTGAATTAAAGGAAAAAGATTTTAGCGACTAGTTACTGAAAATATAATAAATAAATAAAAATAAAAAATAAAGCGATAAAAATATGTCGGTATGCTAGTGTGCATATGAACAAAAAAAAAACATATATTTAAATGAAATGTTAATTACATTTGCAACTATGTTCTATAAAAATATTTAATTATAAATGTAATATTAATTACTAATTTCTTTTATTAATTGTGCAGCGAATTTCGATAGAAACGCCGCGCTGACCGCTGTTTCTTTTTTAATCGATAAACCACACACCGACACACACCCATACATACGGAACATGCACAGGCATATATAAATAAAAACAAACACTTTAATTATTATAAATATTACATATGTATGTATATGTACGCCAGCACATGCATTATTAATTAAATTTATGTAACACTCATAAAAAATATGATTTCTTATTTTTTATATTTACTCTTCTTATATTAAATGCGCTCCTTATTACTATTTCTTACATTATCAATTAATTAATTAATGATTAATTATAAAAAAGTATAACTCTTACTAACATTATTATTATTAGAAGCAAAATTACAGAAAACTAATTAAATTAAAGATTTTTAAACTTATTATTATTGTCATTTGCTTAAAGTAAACGATTAAAGAACTAAAACTAGAACTAGTAAAAAAACTTGGAAATAATAAAAAAAACGAATATTCAAAGTAAAAAGCGATCGTCAAGCGAAGAGTGCTGAGTACTGGACACAAGGGAAGGGGATTTTAGGCAAAGCATAATAATAATTGCAAAAAAATGTTTGCGTAGTCTTGTTTCCATGCTAAATTACATTAAGGATGGGTTTTATCAAACAACTCAATTCAAATCGAAAAAAATATAAAAATTCAAAAATGCAATATTAATTTTTTTAAACTTATGTACGTACGTTGCGTGGATTTTCACTTATTAAAAAATTACATTAACAAATTTTGAACTGATTTTTTTTTAATGTATTGATGTTATTGATAAAAAAAACTACATTTAAAAATTCTAATATAGTTTTTTAAGAATTTCATTAATTCTATTTTGGCTTGCTTTTAATGACTATTAAAATATTTCTGCGGGGGACTCATACAATTTTTTATAAAATTTTTTCAAACTATTTTAGAAAGTGTTTTTTTAAGCAATTTATTTATTAATTTTTAAGCATTTTATTTCAGTGGAGAATTAAAAGTATTTTGTAGTATTTTACAGATATGCGCTTGGAATTTTTTAAAAACCTTTCAAAAAAGCAAACAAAAAAATTTTATGATGCAATACCTTGAATTGAATAGGTAGCCGCAGCAGGGTTGCAATTTTGATTTTTTCATTCCCTTGTAAATTTTGGTTTGGGGACAAATCCTCTGTAGGAAAAGGTACATTACAGAAGACACAACGCCGGAACCGTCTTGCTTCCAACCCAAAACAGAGGGGATGACTGAAGTTCGTTCCAGAATACATCATAATACGGCCCTGTCAGAAGCATTAACAATCAAAAACATTTTTATTTGTTCCAAAACATTGTTTCTGAAGAAAATGAAACACCTTTTAAGAGAATTATTGTCAAAATTTCGAGGACTTCCATTATTCGGGGAAAAAAATTATTTTAGAAAAATTTTAGTTTTCATATGAAATAACAACTCATTTAGCTTTTCAAAAACAGTTTTTCAAAGATTAGAAAATGCATAAACAATTAAAATTAAAAATATTTTCCGTACCTCTTAATACTTTTAGGAAAAATTCCAGAACCTTAAAAATTCAAAAAGGTTTCTCACTTTCAGATTGCAAAAAACAAGAGGAGTCTAACTTTCATTCGAGATAAAAACACCTACTTCAACGAAAGGGAGGTAAAAATATTTTAAACAGTTTTTTAAACATCAAAAAAATTTTAAATATTATCTCAACCACTTATCAAAGAAAAATTTGAAGTATTTTTAGAGAATTTTTCTTGTCGAAATGTTTTAAGTGTTTTAATGAAAGCTGCATTTGCAACCAAGGCGTATTAAATAAGGTGTGATTGACAACTCAGATAGGCTCTCTTTTAAGGTACTATTATGCCAAAAAAATATAAACAAGCGACTCAAAATTCATAAAAAAATTTTTCAATTTGACTTCATAGGATGGCTCTTCGGAGAACAATGTTAAATTCAAACACACTTTGTTGAATACATTTTGTTTGTTTGTTTGTTGTTGTTCTATATATGTAAATATATAAATAAAAAATTAAGAATGCTAGAACTTCAAAAAATCAAAAGGTTTCAAACTTTCAGATTTAAAAAAAGGAAACTTTCATTCAAGGTATAAACTCCTACTTCAATACAAGCCAAGTAAAAAATATTTCAGACAGTTTTGTTTTTTAATTGAAAACATCAAAAAAATTTTAAATGTTTTCCTAACCACTTATCAAAGAAAAATGTATTTTCAGAGAATTTTTCTTATCAAAAAGTAAACATTTTAAATGTTTTTATGATAGCTTTCGATTAAAAAAAAATATTTGAAAAATATACAATTTTAAAATTCAAATTAAACTTTTTTTTTTTAAGAATATACATATATCTAAATTGGATTCTATGCAAAAGAAAATTACATCAAAAATGTTTAAATCATTGAAAACAAAAACTAAAAAAAAAGACCTGAAAAAAGTTAAAATTATTTTTAAAAGCTTATTTTTTTCATAGAAAATAACTATAAAATCTTTCTTTAATTTTGCATGCTTCCTTTTTCTTGAAACCATGATTTTCAAAACAAATATCTTTGTGTTTACGGAAAATCCCTTTGGAAGAAGTTGTTCTGTAAGAAATTGATATTTAAAAAAATATTGGATTTTTTTTGTAAAAATAATTTTGGTAAATTCAATATATTAACCTTTTGTTTCTTCCTATTTTATCTCGAATCGAACTTTTCAATAAATTCATAATCAGAAAATAGATATTTCCTGAGTTTCGTTTACTAATTATATTGTAATACCTATATTTTTACCTTCTCATAATTATAAATTTACTAAACAAAAGCTGCTGTCGAGTATACAGCGACAATTTCGATAAATCCTTAAAGAAAAACAAAAAAAAATGCTTTGGAATGCGGACCTTTTCAACAAAAAATGCTATATAAAATGTATGTCTAGTAAGTAAAAAAATAAACCGCTATTGCATATATTAATAAAGGCATAAAATAACAGTAAATATACCAGCAAAGTGTACATGTAAAAGTGTTAGAACAAGGAAGAAATTAGTATATAAAACAATGAAAATATTGAACAAAAATACAATTAATTATAACATTACGAAATATCTACATAAATATATTTAAAAATTAAGAATAGCTACAAAATACTATTTATATGGATTTCTGTAATTTTAGTAAAAGAATATAATTATAACAAAAATTAAGCAAAAGGAAAAAACTGCAAATTTGCAAATAAAAAAGATCCCACAGGGACAACCAAAAATAAAGCGTGTTTTCATATTATCCCAGTCCAAAAGGCCTCTAGATGCTATCAAAATTACGTTTTCCTAGATGAAAATGAAACAGATTCGTATACCGTTTTTTTTTGTACAATTTATTATTTTATTTAAACTAGGAAATCTCTTAAGCTAAAGTAGACATAAAACTGCTAAATAGTTCTCAAACTGGCACACCCAAGCCGGCCATGTCGTGTTTCAATTCATCGAACAAATCTTGATAATCTTGATGTTCGCGCACCAATAATGCCACTGTGCCACGTTTGACACCCATAGCGGCACCTAAATCAGCACGACTTGGCGTGTAGGCGTACGGTATGCCCTTCTCTTCGCAAACAGCCGGCAAGTGGCACATAATATCAATGGGTGTAACGTCACCAGCGAAGATGCAAATGCTAAACGTGGATGATTTGAATTATGTATTAGAAGTTTTCGTTATGCTATTAAGGATTCCGAACGAAATCAGTGTTGAGCATCCCACTTACCCAGTTTCGCCTTTGCGTAGACGAGCCTGCACATCCTTAAGACCATTACGCAGGTAAGTTTTATGTTTCATCGCCTTCTTAATAAGTTTATAGCACTTTTTGGACATTTTCTTCGAGGCCATTGGCTGCGCAATGCTGTTCACATACTTTAGTTTGTCATCATAAGAGTCCTCTTCTTTGACTGTTACATTTGCTACAGATACAACGGAAGCATCTTGATCGATAGGTTCTGTCTTGATTTTTCCCATGATTTGAATTAAAATAATACGAAACTACTAAAAACCCAAAAAACTTGTAAAAATGCTTCCTGCAGCTGTAAACACGTGAAAAATATGACACTTGACAGTTGTGGTGACAGTTTTTAACGCCGGTATTTGCAATAACAACGCCGTCAAAGTAAGTTGATCGGCAGGGTTGCGCAGTCAAATTTTGTTTTGTCGGATTTTGAAATTTGTCTAAATTTATTTTTTAAGCAGCGCTTACTTTTTCGAAACGTTTTTAAAAGGCTGAGCTGAGGCGTTTGCATGTTTTTCAATGTTCTTTGTAAAATGGAAACATGGGCCCTTATATTTTGCACAAAGAAAAGAACATCGACCCTTTTCGTACGGCAACACCTTTCCCTATTTTCTTCAAGAACCTTCGGTCTGGTTACTCTTTACAATCTTGTCAAAGCAGGGCGCAGGCGAACGACAAAAGTAGAATCACTCGCAGCCAGCAATAAGTGCAGAAAATATACAAAAGAATCGGGGGAATTCAGATCGAAAATTCGCGAGTACCATTGTTATACCGAAAAAGTGTATTGCAATAAAACGTGCTATAAATATTAAACAAAACAAATTGTTTAATAATTGTACAATTAAAGTTTTCGCAAGCGCAAGAAAAAACTAACGACAGAACAAAATGAGTACTGGTGGCATGGGAGAGAAAAGAAAATTGTCGTAAGTAGAGAAATAGGAAGTAGCAGCAAAGGCAGCAGCGACAGCGACTGCAGCCGCGAAATCTTTATAAGAGCAATGTGTTTTGGAAAAAAACGTATTTTTTGTCAAAAATAAGATATATACATATAGTGGGCGGTGACGCCCTAGCAGCTGCAAACTTCTGACAACGCGGTAGTAACGCAAAAATGAAGGAGAATTGCCAAAGAAATATGCCTTAAAATTGCAGCTGCCATTTGCTGCCGCAGCGACGCCAGCATAGAAGAAATGGTGGAAAAGAGCGGCAACCGAAATGCAATGCGACAGAGAGCAGAGCTGAAATAGCGAACTTTCTTGAGTTATCGACGTCGTCGTCGACGCTGACGTTAATTGATTTTCCATGCGAGTGTGCAGTTCAAAGCGTTTGTTGGCAGAAGCTCACTGCTGACAAGCTGGCGCTGACTGACTAGCCAACTGGGTCTTTAATGGGTGGTCGTTAATCGGGTGGGTGGGCGGTTCTTGTAACCAAAAAAAATCTGAGAAAATTAGGGAAAAGTAAAAAATTCCGTAGGATGCCTTTCCATAACAAAATCTGCGCTGGCATTGTTGGAAAATTGTACGAAATTGTATCGAATCAAAAAACAGGTGAAAAAATCAGAATAGACTAATATTATGGATAGCGAATGGCGTGGCACGAGTATATCATTGGGCACAACCTTGGCATTTGTAAAAATCGTAATGTAGGGTGGGAAATGCATGACGTGCCAAAGCAATTAATTTTTATAAGTACTAATTACTATTTCCATTTTATAGTTGATAACAGCTACTAGCTAATTAATGATTTTTTTCAGCAAACGTGAGAACTGAAAACGCAACCTTGTAATGTATTTTAAATTAATAATTTAGTTTTAAAGTTTGTCACAAGTAAATACATATATTCGATTAATTTTAAATTGCTTTAATGTACCGCATGAATAAAAACTAAGCAATTGGTTTTTCCTAAAATTTCAGACCTTTTACTTCATTCAATCAAATATATTTATGTAAAAGGCCTGAAATTTTAAGAAAAAGCTATTGCTTAGTTTTTATTTATTCGCCCCAATGTAAAAGGAAAGGTTTTGCACCTATTGTATTATTGTAAGTCTTTGTTACTACAAAAAATTGCCATAATACGGTACCTACATATGTCGTCATTAGCTCTAATATTCTTACATATTTGTACTGATTTTATTACTACTTTTCTGCCGATATTCGTGTCTACGCTATCGGCGTTTTGGTATTTGTAAAAATACTAAACTATACAAGTTTAGATTAGCGTCTAAACAATTGCTGTATTGTGTTTTCTTATCGCTTATCAGTGCTCGCAACAATTTGCACGAAAGGCGTGCAAATGCCAAATAAATACATAGTTCAATTACTATTCCTCAAGCACCACCCTACTTATGGGCTAACTATCCAACTACCCACCCCGTTTATGGTAAAAATGCGCACATTAATGTAATATTGTGTGTATGTACTTTGACTAGTCTAATATTTGTTGCAAATTATAATATTGTTCATTACTAAACGGCATTTATTTTCTGCTTATTTCTGCTTCTTAACACATTGAATAATACATATATTATTTAAACGTCATGCACATGTGTTGTATGTACATATGCACTTGTCCAAAGTGGCTTGTCCATGGCCTTGAGCAGCACTTTTCAACTCAAAATCCCCATAGTCATGCGACCTTTGATAAAGTGCGATTAGTATAATGCACGCATATACTATGTATGGATATTTGTGCAAGTGTATCATTTATTGCTCCCCATAGGCATTGAAGGGTTGATATGCAGACCTTAAAGAGCAATAAATGAAACTTAGCACAAGAAGTAGAGTTTCCACCTGTTAAGTACAATGTTGAAGGTGTTTATTTTTTACATTGTTGCTATGGTGATAATATTAACACTCCACTAACACTAATATTAAAGGCTGCAGTATTCGACAGCTAATTGAGAAAAAAAAAAAACTTTTCTCAAGTCGCTTGTCCTAGGTCAAAGACGTTGGGAAATATAACTCAAACCGAAGCAAACATAGGCAAAATCACAAATGCCACAAATCCGCTGCCGCTGCCGCTGGAATGTACTTTTTTCGCATTCCGTTTCCTATTCTTGCTACTACGCTCATCGCACATACCACACACCAACCGCGCCCGTAGTTTCAGTGTCAATGCTATAATAAGATCTTGGGTTAGAGGAGATTACGAGGGCTGCAAAAAGAGGGCGGTGCCAGTGTGGCCATTATCATCAATGCCGTCACCAAGGGCTACGATGCTTTAGCAGCTTGTGACTGCCAAAGAAAAAAGAGAAGAAAATTAGAAATTATGATTGTTTTGCTGCTTTTACCGAAGTCGCTGCTGCTATCGCTGCCATTACAATTATTCTGCAGCAACCTGCATTTTTGTAACTGCGCGCAGCACAATGCATTTATTAGTCGCAGTGCATTTTCCTTAGCTAGTATATGTATACATTCAAGTCTACTTTTGTTTTATTTTATTAAAATACTCTTACATTTAAGCACGTTGTCGGCTGTTCTCTTATTTCCTTTAAGCATATTTGCCTTTTTCCATTTAATTTATGTATTTTTGTATGCAAACACATTCCAAAACATTGCAGGCTTGCTGTCTCTACGCGAAAGTGACTCATCGCAGACTTCACTTTTGCCTATTTGACTAAATACATATATTTATATACAGTGAACGTGAAATGTCTAACATTTGTCCATAGAATTTCCAATTAGATTTGCGTGTGACTGAATAATTAGCCAAATAATTTTTTTTTTGGTTAATTGGTACAAATGAACCAATACTCATAACTTTAAAGTTCACTTTATATTTAAAGGTTACATTAAAATCTATGGTTGTGTCTAAAGTAAAACATTTTATTATCGGTTTTAAAGTGGTTTACAACCAAGAAAATTACATACATACGTCAAAAGCCGATAAAAGTCACCGTCTTCGATTCGCCAACAGTTAGCTAGTGGCGAAACGAACGAACTTAATGAGGTGCACCCAAACTCCCTATCGACCATCTTTGCTAGCTAACTTTGTTGGTGCTTGCACATGCAAAATTTTTCGTTAAGTGACCGGAACTCAAACATAGCAAGCAGCGAAGTGACGAATCGATGACGGCTGGAAATTCTTTACTTTAGACCTAGCTATATAATTTAAAGTAAACTTTAAATATAATATAAAGAGAGCTTTAAATGTACAGTTGCCTGTAAGAAGAATCTGTAATGTTGATCTATACTAATATATATTTTGAAAGCCGTTTTTTTCTGTTCGCAAAGCTCGAGATCGGCTGTACCGATTTTTTTGAAATTTCGGTTATAGGTTCTGGATGGGCTTCTCATTGTCGTAGACAAAAAAAGTTAAAAGACTTCCCTAAAAATGGAACTGCAGGACTTTAAAAATCCTATGAATCTAACATACATGCCCACATAACAGCGCTGAGAGCGCCATCTGCTGTTAATTCGTACGGAATACAGCGCAAAGCAAGGGTTTTGTATACATATACATACGTGCACTCAAAACTTCAACATTAGAAAAGTAATTGAATACGACAATATATTTTAATACAGAAGGCTCTGCAAAATCAAGTATTTACAAAGTTATTATTTTTTCGATCTTTCCTCGTCCCAATGAAGCAACATGACATTGAAGAAAAATAGGCATTTACATTATATAATGGAAAGAGATCACTACGGTTTTGCATGTACCACCCGTGACAAAAAAGTTTTAAACTTCGTATTGCTCTGTTACTACTTTAGGGATTTTTCTATAATTTCATAACTAGAGTGTGTTTATACTATGCAGCCCTATTTCATTTCTTTTATTATATAATAAGTGCCTACTTTAAAGATTTTGAAACGTTTTATCGTGTCCCGCCCGTGACAATCACTTATAAATTTTTTCTAATGGTGGCTAACAATAAAAAACAAAAACAAGTTTAACTTTTCAAACCTATGTTTAATGCCACAAAAATTTGAAGTTCAGTCACCATAATACTGTTGATGGGCTAAGTGATGTAGTAAAAAATTTCGCGTGGTCAGCTCGTCAAGGTAAACATTACTATCATAGAGACGCCAGAGAATTCTATGATGAGGGTTGCTTAACAACAATCCAAAAGTCAATACTAACAATTACCTCAAAAGTTCTAACCAAGAAAATCGAGAAGTTCGCCTAACTTATAAATTCAATCTAATAAATAGTATTTAAGTGACAAAGATATATGTATGTATCTGCGTTAAAGTATTCTAATGTAGATAACTTTTCGGATTAGACATCGATACACAAGATCTTTTCTGACGTTCTATGGTTCCACCAAAGAATAGCTAAATTTGAGCCTGATTTGTCCATGAAATCAGTTTTCCAAAAATAACTCAACTCCAGCCACTCTTAGGGCCGGTTACTCAATGTCTGGTTAACATTAACAGCAGGTTAGACATCGCTATCGACGTGATAACAGGAGTCGATATCCATGTTTAACCTGTAGTTAGTGTTAGCCAGACATATGTACATAGCTAGTTCTAGGTATTTTTGACTAATATTTTCGAATGTGTATGTGTATGTACGTATGCGACTGCAGAGAACTTTCCTCGCTTTGAGGCGCATTATTTATTTTCGGAGGTTGTTTTTTTTTACAAATTTTCTGGCAGCTCATAGAGTGAGTGTGAGTTTATGTGCTGACTGCGTCTTTTGACGCTATAATTAGGCAATATATCAAATGTTTAACGCTGATAAGCGAATGGGGCTTTCGTCACTTTTTTCCGAGTAAATTCACTGAACGATAACCTAAAATTAATTTACTAAAACAATAAAATAATTAAAATTAGACATAATATAGAAACTTTTGAACTTTATTCCAAATCGAATGCATATTTTATGAGACTGAAAGATTTTCTATTGATTCTTTGTCCATCTAGAGATTATTATCATCACAGAATTATTTATATTAAGCACAGTCTATTAAGTTAGCATGCTCAAGCACTAACGCCAGTACGTCTCACCGCTCGTTTGGCATTTTTGCGGCTTTTGCGGTTAAACGACTTCATGGCCCGCAGCTGCCGCATCATCATGTTTACCATGAAATCTGTTGCTCTGTTGTTGCTTATAGAAAACATTTTTTTTTTTTAATGATTTTCCTCTTACATGATTCTTTTGTATTGCAGTTCTGTATATTTTCGCCTTGTTTACTCTGTATTGTATTTTGATCCATGTTTACATGTGTCTGCAATTATAAGTACATATGTATATGTACATTCATGCGCTTTTCTTTTTGTTTATGCTTTTTGTAAGCAGAAAAGTTATGCTGAAAGTCAAGTACACACCGGCCCTGCTATTCCGTTCAGAACCACAACACATGTGGAAGAATGTTTGCAAATATGTACATATTTGTTTGTATTTGCATAATTGCTTTTTTAAATAAATCGTAGTTGGTTGGTCGTTTAAAAATATGCATATTTTGTGCAAATATTTCCTTTTCCTCGTTAATTGGATACCATTCCATTTAACTCAGTTTATTATAAATGCGATTCCCTTGAGCTGATTTTTATTGTTGTTTTTTTGTGATTATATTTTCATGAATTTATATAATTTTTTAATATTATTTTATCCGTGTATGTTTTTATTTCCAGTACATCCGGCGATTCGCTTTATCAAATATTGGGACTTCCTAAAACAGCCACGGCTGATGACATTAAGAAGACTTACAGAAAATTAGCACTGAAATACCATCCAGATAAAAATCCAAATAACACTGAAGCCGCCGATAAGGTAAGTTCAGCAAAAATATGAGGTTAATAAAAACTACAACCTCGCTAAAAGAAAATCGTTAATAATTTGTTCGAAGTATATTTTAAGTTCGAAGGTGAATAACAGAGTATCATTCGACTAAAAATAAGGAATTTAAAAACAATTTTTTAAATTCAAGCTTTTATAAGTGGTTAATAAAAAAAAAACGACTCCCACACCACTTAAAGGCACAATTTTTGTGAAGTTATTTCTTTCCATTTAAGTAATATACATACGTTCTAAATATGAAACAAATCGGAGCATAAATACGAGTTTTCCAAATATCTCGCGTCCTGCCACCTATAGGGTACATTTTTTTCGAAGTTATTTCTTTTCATGTAGGTAATATACATACATTAGGAATATGATCTTAAATATCTCGACACCCGCGCCACCTACCGGATTAGTTCAGCTATCAAATTGCATTGTCACCGGGTTCTGAGCTAAGTTTAACTCTAGCTCATCAGGAAGTTAGTTAAAAATTTATTGCAAGATTTGATTACACACAGGTGAAACATTATAAAAACTTGTAGGAAAAACATTTAACCAGATAGAAGGTCGTTTTTAAAACCATTTTTTTTTTTTTGTATAAAGACTTCACTCGAGATCGGCATACGAAACTTTACTTTCTGAATGATTAAAAAGTCCACCCAAACAGTAACGATCTTTTTTACCAGCTGAATTTCAAAAACCTCCAATTCAGCGCGTCTTTCTTTGTTTAAAATGGCATGGAGTCATTAAAAAAATACAATTCAGCGCTCTGAATTAGATTAAATAATATAGCATACATGTATATATTGTCGTTTAAAGTACAAAAGCGCGTATCAACAAACAAAAGGCAATGTGAGGTTGCATAAATTATTTTTTAGAGAGTAAAAACATTCATATTTCCAAATGGTTCTGGCTAGTATATTTCAGGACGAATGGATAAGGATTGAGGCAAGAGCTTGTGTGAGCAAATCCAATTTTTAGCAAAAAATGTCAGTTACGCGGTTTTGCAGAATGACGATACGTGGTTTTGTACTTTAAACGACGATATGTATGTATACAAATTATAAATTGAACTGTTTGCTAAACTAAACCCAACAAGTCAGTCAAAAAAATACCATTCAGCACGCTGAATTAGCTGAATCAATGTGCAAAATGGTCAATTCATGCAGCATTCGCAGCATACGATTGCGAAGGACTCACTGGCGCCGAGCCGTTGAAGAACTTTTGGCAAATAAACGTGCAAGAAATAGTTCCGATACTACCAAGTCATCATCAAAAAATTTCTTGTCGTCCAACTTCGCGACATAAGCTACAGATATGTTTGTATGTATATAAATTATAAATTGAAATGATTGCTAACAATTCAGCGCGCCGAATTAGCTGAATGTAGTATGCTAAAAACGCCTGACAAGTCAATCATTTCTACAAATTAAAAGGATTGCTTAACTATGCAAAAAGGCTCGCTAGTTACTCTCAGAGATGAGATGAGAATATCTTTTGCTTAAATTTACGAAAAGGCGTTTAATTATTGCGCTGAATAAACGTTAAAACATTTTATACATCGACTCGTCAAAGTTTTCTTCTATAGGGAATTAGAAACCTTCAAATTGAATTAGTGCTGTATAAATGTTTTTATCGCTTGTGGATTGAAGTCGTTGACTTGAATTGGTGTTAGTTTCTCTCTTCAATAAATTGAAGATTTTCATAGTCTAGCTAAATACATGTCATGTGTATGTATATCTTATTTTGTTAGAGATAGTATTTTTCAGGAGTGAGTCGAAAATACTCAACTTGCAATGCGCTGAATTAATACGAAATTTCTTTAAACCCAATTTAAAACTAAAAGTAGTTCTAAGAACAACTTTTTTCCCAGTACGCTTAATCGAAACCGATACAATTTAATCTGCTATAGAAATTTGTTTCACTTTAAATGCTTTGTGAAATTTAAATTCCAAGCTGAGTTGAAGCCATTACATTAAAATGCGCTGAATAAACGTAGAAGTCCGTGAAACTTGATTCAGCGTTTTATTTTTAGCCAACGAATGAAACTTTTAAGCAGGGACGTGAACCGGATGAAAAATTTTGTCGGTTCGGTTCAGCGGTTCGAACCGTTTTTGCACTTTTGGATTGGTTCGTCAAAGCGGTTTTTTGGTCTTTGAACCGGGGTTTCGGTTCGGTTCAACGGTTCGAAAAACAAACAAGTAATAAATTTTAAGTTCGGGCGGAGCCGAACATTAAATACCCGGGGCAAGTATTAAATATATGATTTTCACCTTTCCGAAAGCCACCGCAACATGGTAAGCCGGGGTGTATCAATTTTGAGTAATTTAGCGTCCTTAAATTTCGAAATACATATTGAAGTTTCTAGCATTTCTGAAATTTACCGTTATATGAAAAGCGGCCTCAATTTTAGTCTGATTTCAATACTTTTCAACGTTTTGCTTTTACTTGGCAAGCATAATAGCCATACCGAGTTTCGTATAAATTGGTAGACCGGTTACCGAGATACATATATGTGATCATAAGTGGGCGGTGCCACGCCCGTTTCCCAAAATTGTATCATAAACGTATTTCTTCTGTCTTTCTGTCACATGGTAGGTATTACCATGTTTAACAAAAAGAAAAAAGTGGGTACATTTATCTATTAAAACTTGGTTGAAACAAACCTTTAAACCTTTATGGAAAGTGGTTCGGTTTTCGGTTCGGATCAAACATTTGTGGAAAATTTCGGTTCGGTTAATGGTTCAGTTGTTTAATAGAAAAAAGCGGTTTTCCGGTTCAAAACCGGTTCGGTTCAAAACCGGTTCACGTCCCTGCTTTTAAGCAATACACCTTACCATATCGAATAGTATTACAATTTCATATGCCGCTTTACGGTTATCGAGTCGTTTTATTATTGCGTAGAATTAAAAATTGATATAATTTTCTCCAACCAATTAAAAACCCCTTACGTGAAATTTTATCTAAGCAAATAACTGTTAAAAGAAAATTTTGCTTTAAGGTGGCCAAGCCCGGGCTTCAAGAGGCGCTGTCAAAACAGCGAATTGACCAATGGCTCAAATGTGAGCTAGCTTAGGAAAACTGTTTCCTAAGGAGAATAATTTTTATTTTGATATGCTTTAAAGTTTAAACTCTTAACTTTTCCCAAAAAAGATCGCCAACCATAGTTGAACTAAAATGCATAAAATTGGATGCGCTGAATTGCGACTGAAACATATCCTATATCAAAAATATTCGAATTTATTTCAAATTTAATTTGTGAGTTAAACAAAAAACAGAAATTTCGAAAAATACGCTTCTACTTACTTTGCTTATCAAATAATTTTTCCCGCTGATAAAGTTGAAGAATAAACAAATCAGTGACAGTTATCCAAAAACAATATCAACAGCACTGGAACTAAAATCCATCAAATTTATTGCGCTGAATTGCAAATTTAAATAACACGTGTTATACAAAAAAAGACATATCGAACAATTCGCATCTCCTTTGTTTGCTGAAATGCGCTGAATAGATATCAACTAATTTTTTTCGCCCATATATATAAGGTTGAAGAATACACAAATTAGCGGCAGTTTTCCAAAAACAACACCAACACCAATAAATTGTATTGCGTTCGGTTGCGATTAAAGGTTTAAGTAACACGTATTATATAAAAAATATTGGAAGTTATTGCAATCTTAATTTGGTAGTTAAACAAAAATGTAAAACTCCGAAAAACACGCTTCTATTTACCTTGCTGAATTGCGCTGAATATATATCAAATAATTTTTTTTCGCTGTAAAAGTTGAAGAGCACCCAAACGGGTGTCAGTTTTCCCAAAACAATATTAACATCACGAACTATTTTCCATCAAATTTGTGGCGCTGAATTGCAGTTGCAAGTTTAAATAACAGTTATTATATAAAAACTATTGAAAGTTATTTCAAATTTAATTTGGTAGTTAAACACAAAAGTAATATTTCGAAAAATACGCTTCTATTTACCTTGCTGAATAGAAATCAAATATTTTTTTTAGGGGAAAAAATAAGAATACATACATACATACAATATCGGTCATATCTATAGCACGCCATTTCAAAGTGAAATTGTGTGCCACTTATGTTTATTTATTTATTTTTAAGAATTTTCAATTAAAATATAGTTCATTCTCAGACAAACCCCATATAACCTCAAGTTTAATAATTTTTAGAAAACGTGCAACAAACTTTCACCTAAATTTCAAACTTTTTTCTCGGAAGTGTTAGAATTTTTTTGAGTACACAGTTTTTTAGTCCCTTCAATTTTAGTCTGATAATGTGCAAATTTCAAGTGGCTACGAATTGCCGTTCATTTTTTAGAACTTTTTTGTCGCATTGGCTTCCATATAATGAATAAACTCAATTTATTTGTATATGGAAGAAATCCGCAACACCTTTGGCGAAAAAAATTCTAAAAAATCAACGGTAACTTTTAGCCACTTGAAACTTGCACATTATCAGACTTAAATTGAAGGGGCTAAAAAACTGTGTACTCAAAAAAATTCCAACACTTCCGAGAAAAGAGTTTGAAATTTAGGTGAAAATTTGTTGCATTTTTTTGTAGTTTTCTACAAATTGTTAAACTTGGGTTTATATGGGGTTTGTCTGAGAATGAACTATATATTAATTGAAAATTCTTAAAAATAAATAAATAAACATAAGTGGCACACAATGTCAATACTTTGTTATATTTGTATTTTAAAATTATTCACTGCTAACAATTTATGAGCTGAATTAAGATAATTACGATCGCTGTAAAATTTTGGCATTGAATAAATGTTAAGCTTCTAGATTTGCAATTAATATCTATTTTTTTGCAACTTCTTTGATATATTTGCATTTTCATTTAATTTACTCTTAAAAATTTAAGAGCTCAATAAAGGCGAATACAAAAGTAAAACAGTAGGCTAAATTGCACGCTGAATAGCTTGAAACTTTAAACAAATGCGAAGTGGCAATTTGTAAACATTATGCGATGCTTTGAATTAATTAGTCAGTCTAATTTGTAAAGAACTTAAAATATGTTTGAATATTTTATGCAAAGCATGGGAATACGAATATTTTTTGTAAGCTTATTTTTTTTTTACTTACTAATCTCTTTACGCTTCTTTTCACAGTTCAAGGAAGTAAATCGAGCTCATTCCATATTGAGCGATCAGACGAAACGTAATATTTACGATAATTATGGTTCATTAGGTCTATACATTGCCGAGCAATTTGGCGAGGAGAATGTAAATGCCTACTTTGTGGTGACATCGCCAGCGGTGAAGGTACGATAATGCAACAGCAGATGCAATAATTGCTCGAAAACTTGGCTAGTAAATAGCTTTCAGTGCGAAAAATATAAATTTAACTTGAACAGAGCAAATAAAAGACCATTTGTTTTAGTTTCAGAAAGTAAAAAGTGAAAAAATTCTTCTTGGTACTGAAAGCAATTTGCTTGCAGCATTGTATTTTTGGATTCATCAATTTTTAGACGCATTTTATATTTATAAAACGTTTCTTTTTCCTCTCCCCTCTAGGCGCTTGTTATTTGCTGCACTATTTTGACTGGCTGTTGCTGTTGCTGCTGCTGTTGTTGCTGCTGCAACTTCTGCTGTGGCAAATTTAAGCCACCAGCGAACGAGTCACATGATCAGTATGCACATTTGAATGTAAGTAACAAAATATATTATATTCTACATTGATTTTCTATGTTAGTGCTTCCTTTATGCATTCCTCACATTTATACTTTGCTCTAATACGGCGAGTGTTTTGTGATGAAAAAAAAACGTTCGGAATTGAGTAAGGCAGTAGAAAAAGAGGATATACATATATATAAAAATGTAAAGGAAAAAAGTCTAACAGTCTTTAAAAATGCTGCTGGTTGCATTAGCTTTGATTCAATCTGCCGCGCCAGAAGCACTCTACCATTTCTGACGTGTAGTCGCTACATGGAAGTCATTCACCCACACTTGCACTTGAAATCTCATCAGCATACTTATGCACGTGCGTTATGCATTTACTAACCTGAATTATTAACTATTCCATACATCACCTAGCATATGCTAAAAAATTTTTTTGTTATATCAAGTGCATAGCATACCGAAGAAAATTCTGTGCTTCTAAGCTACACCCGAATATTTGCGTCAAGCTAATGCATTGAGTCATTTGTTCAAAAACTATAAATTTAGATATTTTGACACTTCTAACTTTCTCTCCCTACATCCTTGCATCTGTTATCACACTCTGCTTTCGTTACTCTTTCCCTGCGCGTCACTCTAGAGAAGTATTCTCCTCAAACAACGCTCTACCCTACAGTTTTGATGATTTTTGTAGTGCTTTTGCGCTATTCACTGCCTTTCATGCCATTGAATTCTGATAACATATTTCCCTTTAATTTGTTTTTGCATTTAAATTACTTAATATAATTGATTTTATGCATTTTTTTTTTATTACTTGCGATTGCATTCGATTGTTTCATGAGTTTGCATGCACTTACAACATTGACATACTACATATGTACATGCACCTGTACCGCAGCCAATTAATTTTTATTATAAATTACACTTCGACTCGCATGTTTGCTAGCCTTATTTTTTCAAACCACTATATCCCGCCATAAACTCATACCCTCTCAATAATACTCGCTCTTTGTATGAAGCCTCTGGTTTGAAGCTGCGGCAGGTAAGTGAAGCTATCAGAATTATCGAAAACAAAGTGCACATAAGTTTTGCTGGGTTTTTGTTTAATTCCTTATTCGGTAGTATAATATTTGTTTTTACGTTACACTGGTAAAATAAAGCTGAATATTTTTTTGTGCTCTCTGGGTGCTGTTGCAACGATTGGAAGGTAATGCAAAACGATAAACGCAATTTTGTAATACATACAAATTGTCTGCAAGAGTTTTTGAGTTGAGTTAAGGGTTTTTGCATAAAAAAGGTTCAGAATAAGTTTGCTGATTGCTGGAATCGATATTTGGCAGAGCATTTTTTGCGTTAATCATTATTTCAGATATTTGTATATGCGGAGCTAGTGCTGAGGCAAATCAACTCTGCTATGAATTGGTATAGAAATCTTTTGGAACTTTCATTAAGGATGTTTTGGATAAAAACTATAAAGGAGGACGGTAGTTAAATATTTTAGTTCAATGTCTGCTTAAAGTATAGGGCTTCCTCTGAAATAATCTTCTGCATGTCGTAATATGGAATAATGTTTCGCACTCAAAATGGCATTAATATAACGTTTTCGAAACTACACATATTTCTATGAAGTTCTAGTCGGCGAGAGAACTCAGACCCCTTATTTTTGATCTTTTGAAGCGATATACCTGCCATTTTCGACTCTTTTTTTTTCCTTCATTATTAAATCATTAGAGTTTCAGACCTTCTACTTTAGCTTCTCTTACACTAAATAATAATGTTAAATTTAACTTTGGTGGGGCTATTGGAAGATCTTCTGTTTGAAAGCTATTTCGCCGCTATTTATGGAGATTTTTTAAACATTAAAAAAATGCCTAAAAGCGCTGAGAAAGTACAGTAATCCTATTGATATAAGTAATGTGTGCTTGCGAAAAGTTTTACTCTAAACGCGGGATTAATTTTCAGTACAAGATTTGATAGTTCTGAAAAAATTTTGAGATTTTCGAGGATTTCCTCTTTCACAAAATGTTGAAAATGTTGGACCTTTTTGTAAAAAAAAAAAATAAAAAAACGGACTTTATAAAATATACATCTAGAAGATTCGTAAAGATTTTACATTTTTTAACAATAGAAAATATGTTTGAATGATTGACTATAACCAAAAAATATTTTTAACTGTTGTAGAATTTGTGAATCACTTAAGCGATTTGTGAAGATATACAAGACATCACTGCCATTGAGTTTTAAGGAATTACATATTTAGGGGATTATCCAGGTGTCTCAACGAGTCGTATTGCTGATTCAGAACAAAGCAAAACATTTTTTTGCCGTTTTCAAGTTTATGACAATACGACTGCTTTGACACCTTGCGAATACCCTAATTCATTTAAAATCGAAAATTGTTCTTTAAATGTTTTTAATATTTTTTTTTCAAGAAAAATGTTGTAATTTAGTTTATTTCATTTTGTTTTATTTTATTTTCTTATATTTTATATCATTTTATTTAAATTTTATTTTATTTTATATTTATTCTATTTTAATTTGTTTCGTTTCATTTATTTTATTTTATTTAAATTTTATTTTACTTTATTTTAATTTATTCATTTTGTTTTATTATTTTATTATTTTTCATTTATTCGCATTTAATCAACACTTTTTACCTAGATTTTTTACTAAAATACATACGTATTTGAGTCAGGAAAAGTTTGTATCATTAACCGTCTCTTAAAAGTAGTATTTTTGTTATGATTTGCTTCCAAATTTCAAAACATTTTTGAAAAGCTTACCGTTCCCAAAAATCTCTGCACTTGATTTTTTAATTAAACCATTACCATCAGTAAAAAAAGAGGTAAATTCACCTGCTGTTTACTATTAAACTTTCAATTAATATTTCGTCCAAAAACCCGTTTTTTGTTATGTAATGTATCATCAAAAAAATCTTCCACTTCTAATTTTGATTTGGGTAGTAATGGGTTATTACGCTCATACAAATTCTTTTATAATGACCGTAATTTTATTCCATATTCCGAACCCTGTTGCTTCTAATAGTTTGTATAATTATCAGCACAGATAAATTGCACGCTTACACACCTTACAAAATAAAAAAGAAATTTGTTTTTGAAAGAAATTGTTAGTTTTAAAATACAAAAAATTTTTAACACATAAAATATTTGAAAATATTGTATAATAAATAAATTGCACTTCATTTTTAGAATACCCAAATCGCACAATTAATCATAGCAATACATTTACTATGCCACACACACACGCCACTACGAAAAAAAAATCACAGCACTTTACGAAAATCATCAAATATCCTTTGCTTTGCGTACCCTCATATACATAAGTGTCACCCAGAAACGAACAACGGAAACCGGAAATTGCATTGCAATTGCTTCTTTTTCTTTGTTCAAGCAAAATTCAATATTCTCTCAATTCTAGTTCCTTGGTTTTTAAATTTGGCAAGAAATCTTCGCGCCCTTAGTATTCTTTGCGGCATTATGCGTTACTCTCAATTCACTTTGCTAACACTTTGAAGAGCACTTAAATTTGGTTTCTTCCATTTTTAATTTAAAATTCGTATGCCAATTTGTATATAACGCCCCTATCCACATCTTTACACACTTTCTCATACTTGGCATTGTCAAACGCCACTCACCAATCTCACTGCTCTTTCACTACGACAAACCACTCATTACTCCTTTACACTTGCTGCTTCCACAATTTTCTTCACTTACTTTGCTATTCTATGCGCTCTAGTGACCCTTTTTATATTGATATTTTTTTATTTATTGTAAAATTATTATTATTATTGTTGTTGTATTATTCGTTTACCCTCGTTCGTTTATTTGTTTTGTTTTTTTTTGGCTCATACTCAACTTTCTCGTAAAAAATACGTTCGATTTGATTTCGATTTGAAAACTCATGTTGTAGCGTGGCGAAGGGGATAGAGAGCCTAGTGATAATTCAACAAATAGGATACAGACCACAGCGCATAATGTAAGTAGCCCTCAAATATTTTCATCATTTATTTTATTTTAACAACTAAATGTAGTTAGTTATATGTTTTATTTATTTGTTTTCTACTAATTGCTTAACAAACTATTTATTACTTTAATTTTTATGTCATGGCTGTGCTTAAAGGCTTTGACAAGTTTGGGATAATTTGTTTGTGGCTTTTTCGTTTATGGGCTTTTTTTGGTGTTGGGCTGCGTTTTAATGGTGTCATCATACATATATATATATATATATATATATATTATTTCACTGAACTTTTACTAAGCATACATAACACTGTTCATTTTGCAACACCTTATTACACCTTCAATATTAAATTTTAATGCGTATAAACTGTTGTCCATTCTTCCTAAACTTGGTAATTTCATACCAATTTTGTCGAACGATCAAGGTTCCAAATTTTTTTTTTTATTCAAGCAGAAATAAAATCTAATCAAAACTATAAAATCGTATGAAAATGGATTCTAAAGATCCTTATTAAATGATATTCGTTTGATCGTTTCAAAAATTCCACCTATAACATAAATCTTGCGATTTGGAAGCACTGATCGCTGCTAGATACAAGAACATGTGCGGTTAGGCACATGGTAGTTAGTAGCTCCAGGCGCCAGTATCGAAACATCCACAAAGCCACTTGGGCGTCCCCTGGTCAAAGAATGAAGAACCAAATTGATCATGTTTTGATAGAGCGAAGATAAGCTTCGAGCGTTCTTGACGTGTGATGGACCACAGCCACAGCGAGGAGCCATCATCGACTCGGATCACTACCTTGTTGCAGACACGGTCCGCATGCACCTCTGTGCAATGGAGAACGTGTGTCAGACAACGCGACAAAAGTTCGACGTCGGGAAGCTGCTGTCACAACAGACAGCCGAGAAATTTCGCAATCGACTCTCAATACTGCTTGAACAAGAAACTCTTCATCGACCGGATATAAATGAGTGGTGCCGCTGCGGAAGAGGTGGTTGGATACTAGCGCCCACACAGGAACAACTGGTAGGACGAAGAGTGCCGTGTTGCTGCTGAGGAGGAGAAAGGCGAAACGTCTATTCAAAAGGAGAAACGAGAGGCAGAAAGGCGTGAATGCGAAGAGTATGAGATGTTGGCAGCCAAGAATGCGGCTCGAAAATTCTATCAGAAAATAAACCAGCAATCAAATGGTTTCAAAACCGAGATGTCCAGGGTACACTTGAGATATGGAGCGAACACCCTTAACGTTTTTAAATGTCGGCACAGGTGGCGCGTTTGATGAAGATGAACCCGAACCAATGTATAGCGCCGAGGCTTACGTCCTTCAACTCGTCCAAGACGAGGTGAGAACAGCAATAATGCGGCCTAGAAACGACAAAGCCTGTGGAGCAAGCTGGTAGAGAGCATATACCAGCTTTTAAGCAGAATTTGGTCTGTTGAATACATGCTCGAAGATTGTTCAACCTACAACAAAGGAAATACCGTCGTCTGTGCCAATTATCATGGAATAAGCCTTCTTAATATTGCCTAGAAGGTGCACAAAAATTACGCTCTACAAATCTCTCATCATACTTGTCGTATTATATGGCGCAGAAACGTTGATGATGTCGAGTCAAGATAAGAGGGCCTTGAGTGCTTTCGAGAGAAATATTCTACGCAAGATCTATGCCTCTGTTCGCGTGGGCGACAGGTACCGAAGATGTTGGAATGACGAACTTTACAAGCTTTTCGACGGAATAATATAATAATAGATTGGCGCTTACACATTTGTTAGTGTTTGGCCGTGCTTCTCCTCCGCCTTATGGCGTGCGCCTTGATATTGTCACACAAAGCGGAGGGACCTACAGTTTTACGCCGACTCCGAACGGCGATTGTATTTTTATGAGAAGCTGTTTTTCATGGCAGAAGTACAATCGCAGGTGTGCCATTGCCTGCCGAGGGACGACCGCTGTTAAGAAAAAACCTTTTTTCTATATTTTTTTGCGATATCTCTTTGACCAGGGTTTGAACCCAGGTGCTGCGGAGTGGAAGCGCGCACTGTTTACCACAGCGGCCGACGACGGAATGGACATAGTTAATTGCACAAAAATACAACGATTGGGTTAGCTTGGCCATGCTGTATGCATGGATGACGAAGCTCCAGTGAAAATGTCCTCTGACTTGGCAACCAATGAAAAAAAGGGCGTCCACGACAAAATGGAAGGACCAAGTACAGAAGGACCTCTCTGCACCTGGGATGAACAACTGGCGCAAAATGTTTGGTCTCGGCCCAAACCGACAAAACCATAGAGAATAGTAGACCGGTAAATTCTGTGTGGCACAAAATCATTTTCCACGAATCATTCTTCGCCATGACGCATAAATTATGCGTTCATCCACTGAACCTCAGAAATAAGCTGCTTGGTTAACGATTTTCGATGCCTGCAGGCGCGGCTAATGTTTTTAAAACACATGTGTTAGTTGAGCCAATGTTGGGCGTGGCATGGATGTATTAAAGCAAAGTGGTTTGAGCGAATGCAGAAGTGATTCAAAAGAACTTGAATTCACATGCTCTAACTCTTGAATAAATTAGGAAAAAAATCAAAAAGTTCAACGTTCGAATCCCGGCATTCAAGAAAGCCGATTATAAAAAAAATTTGAGTACACTTAGGTATTTTTTTTATGCGGTACATGCGTTCCTCAGAAAGCCGCATAAAAAAATCCGCATAAAAAGTTCTTTAATTTCATACAAAAACAAGGGTTGCGTTCCAGCATTTTCAAAAACCGCATAAATTCAGATACTCCATGTAAAAAATTCTAAAAAAAACCGCATAAAAAAATCCAATGAGGCAATATTAAGCAAAAAAATAATTTATTTGTTCACTTCAACACTTACACAGGTCTGCAAAAAAATGGGTTCGGAATGTTCTATAAAAGTGTAGTGTCATTTCCGAAGTAATTTTTTGCGTAGAATCCGAATCCGGGGTTTAAATTGCTCTATCACGTCAGGACTTTGAGATATCCTAACCTAAAAGTGCAAAAAACGCTGTTTTTGCCCATTTTTGAGGTTATGTAGCTACGAAGATTTTGCTCTTCATAAAAAAGTAGACATGGTATTTTAAAGTATAAGTCTTCCTTTTTTTAAATGCCGTTGAGTTTGCTCAAATATCTTAATTTTTCACTGAGATATCGCATTTTGCAGTCTCCATGTTTGTGAATGTAATCGACCGTATCACGTCTCATGTTATCTCAATGGATTTTCGAATATCGAAAAATTCACAAACATGGAAACTTCAAAATGCGATATCTCAGTGAAAAATAAAGATATTTAAGCAAACTCAACGGCATTTAAAAGAGGAAGACTTATACTTTAAAATACCACGTTTACTTTTTTATGAAGAGCAAAATCTGCGTAGCTACATAACCTCAAAAATGGGCAAAAACAGCGTTTTTGCACTTTTAGGTTAGGATATCTCAAAATCCTGACGTGATAGAGCAATTTAAACCCCGGATTCGGATTCTACGCAAAAAATTACTTCGAAAATGACCCTACACTTTCCTAGAACAAAACGTTGTTGACCTGTGTTATTATTCCATGTAAAACAGAGCATTAATCAAATAAATAAAATTTTATCTGTATTTTAACCATAAAAAAAAAACCACAATAAATACATGAATTATGTAAGAATACAAAGACAAATTATTTATCAGAAGCATTGTATCTTACAAACTGAAAAAAGTAATAAAAACTCTCAACTCTCAAATCGCCACAGCGAAAAAATGGTTTGAAAAACCGCATAAAAAAAAACCGCTTAAAAAGAGACCTAAGTGTATACTACATTCTATAATGATTGCGCTGCATTAATTAAATTTATATTCATTCAATTCGATACAAGCAATCATTCAATTGCGATTAAAGTAATCGTAATCCTAGATGCAATCGATTACACATGTAATCTTTATCGCCCAGCTTCGCCATCACGAATGTCTTGATTTGAAGCACTAAATATTATGCTGTATTTTCACTAAGCATTAAATGACAACAGTTTTAATGACAAAGTTGTGCATAAAAAAAAATCGGTGTCATTACGTTGAAAATACATTCTGTTTCCACTTGCAATATTTTTAATGTCGTACGTTGCATTCTGTTCGTTTTGCATTTCATACACTTATTTTTATATGAGTAATACTGAAGCATTATTCACAGTTTTAAGTTCCCACATTCGCTAGTTTCGTTGTTTCTTTATTGTATTTTTTTGTTTGTTTTCTTTTTTAAATTTTTTTAATTTGGTGTAAACTAAATTCTCGTTTTGTTTTATTTTTTATCATACTTAGCAACAACCAACCCAAGCTTAAAGGAACCACAATGTTGGATATTCAAATAAAAACTGCAGTATTTGTATATAGAAAATTTTATTCAATTCGTTTATACATACACAAAAAAGAAATCAAAGAAGTTTGCAAATAAAAACAGTTAAGAACTTAAATGGTTTTCGAAATTTTCATTTAAAAAAACTACTGAAATACGTTGAAATAAGTAAATCGTGTGCCCAAACGATGGTTTTCGAGCGAGCTCTTGTTGAAGAAACACAAAAATTTCTACCAAAAAGGAGTAATCGCTTATTCGAAAATTTTCGAAACTCAAAATTGTTGTATGTTCTAAAAATTTCGACCATTGTCAAAAATTATATTACAAACATTTTAAAAGCAAAAACTGCTTGTAAAAAAACTGGTAGGCAAAAAATTGCATTATAAAGATAAATAAAATTGGTGCGCTCAATGTTCTTATTGAAAATTTAGTAAAATACATACATACATATATTGCAAACATTTCAAGTGCACTTCTATAATTTTTCGCTTAATTTCAAATATTTTCCATGTTCGAGAATTTTCGGCGATTATGCAAAACATTCGAAGCTAAATATATAATTTATTTTAAAATAGCAAAAGTTTCTTAAAACATTTTAGAAAAAATTATATAAAGTAAAAAAAAGTTGTGGCATTTTGATAAAACCGACTTAAGTGACTTTAGAAGGTATAACTTTAGATTTAAAAGGAATACATTTCCCTAAAAAAATTTTATATTTTTACTTCTCCTATGGCTAGTTAGTCATTAAAATATTGGTTTTGTTCCACAATGAAATATTGCTTTAAAGAGAAAATAGCCCAAACCCGAGATAAGTTGTTTTATCAAAATCCCACAGAAATGAAAGTACATATATAAATGCAAGACTTTCACTCAAAAACTCCAATATTCAACTACATAATCAAAATCCATTCTAAATTTTGGAGAGATAAATGGTAGGTCCTAAAATGAAAATACGATGGCGCTATAAATAAATCGCGCTCATATTCGAAATTTTAAGTTAAAAAAAAAAATAAATAAATTGCGTGCACTGTGCGTTCGTATTGAAAAAATAATGCAACCAGTGTCAGAGAAGGAGAAATTATATGTTCGAAAATTTTCGAAGTTAAAAAATTTTGCGCTTTTCAGCACGTTTTGAGTGTATTTATGAATTTTCGCTTATTTTCAAGTATTTCTATTGTGCGACAATGTTCGCATTAGAGTTAGTTTTTACTAAAAATGTGCCTTGTTGATGAACACATTTACCACAATTCAACTGTGAAGGTCTTAAAACCTGGCATATCGGTAAGTAAAAGTGCTAGGAGCCTTTGAAAATAGATTTTGCGCCTAGAAGTATGTAATATTTTTCAAATCATTAACCCGTGCGCTTCTACATAGTATGTACATACACATTTTGTACATAGACGTCAAAGCTTCATTTACAAATAGCTTATTTTAGGATAGGTAGATTACATTTGCGAAATTGAATGTCATTTCCGTCCGAAAGCTTACATACATACATACTTAAATATGCCTTTCTTTTAACAAAAACCTACTCTTTTAGTTTATTTTTTGTCTCTGTATATTTTTTGTTTTGATTTTCTACGTTGAAAACAGCCTTTTGTCTATCCACATACATACATAACACTTGCTCCGTCTTTTCGCAGTCCTTTCTTTCATTTAACTAAATTTGTTTTACATTTTCGCTCATTTTTACTCACAATCATTGCTCGGTTGCCATTTTATCTGTCACTTAATTTCCAAATAAATTAATCTTCTAATTAATTACTCCTTTTTTCTTTTTCTTCTGCTTTCTTTTTTATCCACAGGAGGACGCCGATTTGGATGATATTAACTTGGGCGCCGGAACCAATACCCAGCAACCAGGTCTTGGTGGCGCCGGTGGGCAACCAGCACCAGTTTTCGCGATGCCACCACCAAACCAACCAACCGTCACTGGCGTGAATCCATTTACGGGCGCACCAGTGGCTGCTGCTACAGAGAATACATCGCTCAATGCTACAGAACAGCCGACATATACGCCAGGTATATAAGACAAATAAAACTAATTTAGTGGATAAATTAAAAAAAAAATATAAAATAATATACAAACATTAAAAAAAGATTGAATTACGAAGCTCTAATTAACATGTTCACGAGAAGGTGTTTGAAAAGAATGATGTTAATAAAGATCATTATTACTAAAGAAACAAAAAAACTGCAAATTATATTGCTAACGATACATACATATGTTCATGATGACGGTGTTATTTGGCAAATGATGACAGCAGAAAGTATAGGGAAGCTTGCATGTACATCCGTGCAACCTTATGGAAAAGCAAACTAAAAAAAAAAAATATTCAAACAAAAAATATTTATAACTGCTCCATTTCTTTTGCTCCTTTTTCTATCAGCGCGCTCACTTATACACACAAACACACACACTCAGCCATACACGTACACATAAAAAACACAAACTAATTATTTAAAAAAAAAAGAAATTAAATTAATAATAAGCAGTCACAATATTTACACTTATATAAATACCGTTAGGAAAAACTTTAATTAAACTTCCTATTATTAATACATATGTAAAAATATTATATGTACTACTGCTTTTTTGAATGAAAAAAAAAATTTATATTTGTTGTAGTTTAAAAGACAGTTAAATAAAATATTAATCTGGCAAAAATTGGTATGTCGAATTTTAGCTAAAATCATTCGCATCTAAAAAATAATCATAAGCGTTTATGACCATCGAACCAAAAAGTGTTTCACATGCATACATACCATGTACTTATAAGTGTATGCATGTACTTATAAATGTATACATCCTACATATGTACATACGTGTTCATATACATGCGATGATTAAAAGCGCAGTTACCCACGGACGTAAAAACGGATCTTATGGGATGTGGGTATTAACAAAAACTCACCACCGCATTACCGTGACGTAGACGTTGCTGCCCTCTCTTTCTATCAACAGAAAACTTGATGTTTCTACGTACTTCTACGCTACGCTACGTACACGTTCGTGGGTAACCGCATTCTAAATATAGCTGTTAGAATTTAGCTTGTTCACTGTTTGAAAATATTTTTAAAATTAATTGTAACATGGTTTGTTCAACTTATTAAATTTCAGTACTTCATAAAAAGTAACAGGGGTATTCAAAAGGTTCATAGGTGTAGAAACTTTGAACTGTCAAAATGTCCAGCCTAAATGTTTATAAGTTGGCGGGCAAATAAATTCGACGAATTTCCACAAATGTTCCTTAAAATTTCAAACGTCTAGGTACGCACTGTTGTAGTCTATAATATTTTAATATAATAAAGAGCAAGTTTGCAGTTGCTAGGATTTACCGTTGATTTTTGGCAATTTTTCTTGCTTGTGCATTTTCATCCATATAAAAAAAATGTTCCAACATACTTTGTATGGCAGAAACTGCGTGACATCGTCAGCAAAAAAAAAAAAATCCTAAAATCAGTAGTCATTTCATTTTGACTAAAATTTGTATTAAAAAGTTTGAAATTATGTTTACAAAGTTTGTAATTCGGACATACATGGTTACATGTTAGATAGTGAGCTATACGTTCATAAAGAAGTAATAAAAACTGAATAAAAAAAGAAAAATTGCCACAACTGGTTAAATTGTGGCGTCCCTATTTATTTTCCCGTCACTGTATGTCTAAAATCATTAACAATATATTATAAATCATATTGCCAATCGATAGCTCCATTGCTGTAAGCATAAATCATTTTGATTTTGAGCTTATTCAACCTCATGTACATATTTTCCATGTACCCAAGGGGAAAATTAAATCATGCTTAAATGTATAAAAATAAAATAAAATAATTTTCTTATATTGTAGAGGACTTCAGCTTCATAACACAACTATGTATCATAGATTTGTGATTATATGTATGTATTATATTTTTTCCATATTTATGTTGAATCTGAAACGAAGTTCAATATTTAAAAATTCATAACCAAATGTCAATTATTTTATTCAAGTCTGTATTAATTATTAAATTATATATATATACATTTACACATGTTATTATTATGCCTACTCACATACATACATACATTTAAATAATTGTATTTGAGAAAAAAGTATCGTTACTAAATTGCGCCACTTGGTCCTTAATCCATTCATTTCATTTTGGCTTTATTTATATATTTTACAATACATATTAAAATTTCATATTATAGCATAATATGTATCAACGTTATTATGAATAAACGTATTTGTCTGAGAAAAAATAACTGTAAACGTCTGGTTAGTTCATTTGTTTTTCACAAACAAATTAAACTGAAAAAAATAATCACAATGGCTTGTTGTTGTAACAGCACACAAATTCCGCAAAGAATTTTTGGAAAATCCGCTGATGTGATAATCCTTGACCTTGATATACATAGATCTGGGTCGTTCTCGTTACGTAGACACGACTGGCTTGGCACCTTTTGACGACACTTACGACAAACATAATCCACCTTGGCTTTCTTAATTTTTTTGTTTTATGGCCAAGAGATTAAATATTTTCAATTTCAACATTTTTCCCCCCATATCGCAACAATTTTTTACGTAAATGATGAGACTTGTTTTTGAATTTACCATACCGAAATTCATTTATTTTAATAAGTTTCATTTAAATTATAGTTTCATCAATAACAGGAACCGCATAAATAAAAGTTTCAAAACTTCCACAATGTTCACAAAAATTAGTCAAACTTCAAAAAATTACAACAAAATTTCGAACTTTGTACGTGGAATTTAAGGAAAACTTTCGAGTATGCAGTTTGGTAGCGCATTCAATTTAAGTGTAACGAAGTGTATGTTTCAAGTCGCTAAAGAGTTTAGTTGATTTTTTTTTTTAGATCTTTAGTTGACGAGGGTGTTGAGCATTTTCTTCAATTTAAAAATAAATTTTGAAGAAATTTTTTTAAATTTGATTACCGTTTGTGAATTTTGCGTAAGCCTTGATTCTTTTACTTATGTATGTGGTTTCTGTTATATTTTTAATTCAAAAAAAATTAAAAATAAATAAATATACAGGAGTTGCAAAAAATATCATTTTGAATTTTCATGTGCTTTCATGCTCAAATAATTTTTGCTATATATGAGGGCATTAAGGGCGTGACCAAAAATTTTCAAAATTTTAAATTTCATCTGGTTGTTGACGTTGGGTATTTTTCTATAATTTATGGCTTTAGCTAGGTTAAGAGTGAATTGAATTGAATTGAAAAACAGACAGTTCTCACTTTGGAAAAAAGTAAAGGAAAATATGAAATACGTATTGATTCCAAAATTTTATCTACCAGATATACATTTGAAATTGTTAAAAGTCCTCACTGAAAACTCAAAAGAATATGTATCAAACGAAGATTAATTTCGTAATCGAAAATGCATGTTCGAAAATTTTTGAAGTTCAAAATATCTCGCATAACAGCACATTTTGGATGTATTTCTATATTTTTTCGCTAAAATTCAATTAGAGACTATGTTCGAAAAATTTCGTAGATAAAAAACTATATATGTATTACTTTTTTTCATTTATGCTAATGGAAAATACAAAAGAATATGGACCAAACGAGGATTAATTTCATAAAGTATGTTGAAAAAATTGTATCGCATTTTCTAAAAATTTCGAACTTCAAAAACCCTTTACATATGTATGCAGTGACACAAATTTATTCATATGCACATCTGAACATATGTCCATACTTCGTATTTTTAATTTACCGCTTATTTAATACAAATGCTTTTGTATTTAATATTATTTGTATTTTTCTTTTAGATATGGTTAAACAAAAATATTAGACGCATCCAACAACAATATCAAAAATCAGTTACAATAGCGCGAATCAAAGGCAAATAAATTACTTCATAACAGCGACGCCTCGTCCATCAACTCCACATATTCAACATACATATCGTTAGCTTAGGGTGAAAAGTTGCTAAGTCCATCTTTTATGACAACCAACATTTTGATACAGGAAACAAGGGAAATTTAAAATAAATACGTCGTTTCCAAAAGGACCGAACTAATTATTTTATTTCTGTTCACTTCTATTCCGTAAAACGAATACTTGCTAAGTCCAAAAAAAGAAAGAAAATCCGTTAAATTCAAAATACTACCCAAAACTTTGATTAACGTCGAACTCTGCCGCTTTGTATGTTCGTTATGTTTTGCTTTGAAAACGAAAAAATTATTGTATCGAAGTTTTGCAAAATATTTGAAGCGGATGAGTTTAAGAAGTTTTTTCTTCTCTTCTGTAAAATTTGAAAAAAAAGAACTGGAGCTAACAAATTTTGACTCTAAGCTGGCTATATATGTACTAAAACAATATCAGCAAAATGCATAAAAAACACACGGCAGCAACAACAACAACACAAAAGATAAATTAAAATAAAACCTACACATAAACATACATACATACTTTACACTTTATTTAACATGTGTATACCTTGAATGTATTTATGTGATTTGCAAACAAATTTCCTTTCTTTTTCGCTATTTGTTTTTAGTTTTTAAAGTATGTACTACATAAAAACAAAAGAAAATATTGTGCTATAAATAAAAAAATTTAGAATTAGTCATTTAGGTTTATTATTGAGGCGATAAAAAGCAAAAATATTTTGAGGTAGCAGACAAATTTCAAAAGAAAAATGCATGGAAGTGCATGTCAGTTTGAAAAATTAATTGCTACTGATTTGATCGAAGCTTTCGAAATAGCATGAGTTTTTCTAAAGTAGCACTCCAATGTGCTTCGTTGCAGTCAATTTGTCTTGTGGACCTTCAACATTTCCTGCAACCAGCAACTAAAATATTCCAAATAAAATTTTCCTAGCTTTTTATGCACTGACTCTGCTCACCGTACACATTTATATTTTTTGTACTATTTACATATTTAGCATCTTTGACTTAATTTATCTGTATGTAGTTTTAATATCCGAAAATTGGCGTATAAAAATTGGAAATATATACACATTTATTTATTCTTTATATTATGTTCACACATATGCTTGTAAGTAATGCATTACGTAGAATAAGGCTTGAGTTCAGTAAATTTTTTGAAATTTATTATGTAAAACTATATTTTTTTAGATTTCAGTAATAAGGTACTTTCGACAGTTTTCTAAATCATTTTTTGTTCTCGCAAAATTTTTTTCTATACACACAGCAGATATCTTAAAAAAAAATGCATTTTTAAATAGCTTATAGATCTGTAAATCGGTTACTAAAAGCCCATACAGCATATGTAGCACCTGAAAAAGTGCCTAAAAGTTAGGCGTTTCACTTACTATTTTATATGAAAATTTGGAAAATATTTGTTGCATAGGTATTTACGTCAAATGTCAAAATAATTCGCTTTTTCTTAAGGCTCAGTTACTCTAGACTTAACTTAACTTACGTAAGAAATCGTCAATGATTACTCAACACGTTAACTTAGCCAGAAGCAAAAATATTTTGCTTCTGTATTTTCCTTTTCAGCTCATTGTCAATTTGCCGCCTATAAGCCACATCAAAAAAATTCATGAACAAAAATATATTGCGTTGGCCAATATATTAGATTACGTTACGTAAATCAAGTCCAGACTAACTGAACCTTTAGGTTTGAACAAGTCATATATGCACACTGAAATACATATATACATAGGTACATTTGTGTCTATTATTATCCGTATTGCGTGTGTCACCTTCCTCGCTTTAATATTTTAATGAAGTAGTTGCAAACAAAAAATATTGTTTACCGAGTATTACAATTTTATTTAATAAAAGAAATTATTGCTATTATCGTTAGTTGTTTTGTATTTACTTTTTCGTAATGCGATATTTAATTGTTTTTTTTAAACAGGAAATGGTGAAAAATTTATCTAACCAAAACTTATAAGTAAAACGTATGAAAAAAATTTGGGCTCAGGTGATAGGAGCAATCCAAATAACCATTAGTATTTCTTTTAAGCTTAGTTTCCGGCTCTCAAGAATTAATCACAGGAAATATTTTTCATTATTTTTGTTGCTTGGAAAAGTACCTGGCCGATGCTGTAAATTGTCTTGAAGAAATAAATATACGAGATTTTTTTTTTCTGAGAGCTGCAAACTGATTTAAGAAATTTTGATAGCAAAAATTCCTTCTTCATTTCTGGGGCGCTTTTCATATGAATTTTTTGGTTTCCTTGCGAGCTGGATACTATGCTAAACTGCGCAGAAATTAAAAAAATTCCAAAAACAAAATTAAAAAATATTTTTCTTCGTATTTTAAGAAAATCAAAAAATGCTGAAAATTCACCAATATTTCGACTGATATATATTTCGAGTTATTAATTCTGCAGAAAATATTACGTACGTATGTATCTATATGTAGATATACATACATACATACAAAATAACAACATCTATGTGGCACCCTTTACTTGGTTTTACGTACAAAATAAAGACATCCACGAAAATTTCAAAATTTTAATCAAATTTTTAGGGGTCAGTTTTAAACAAATTTAAATAAGAAAAGAACATCGCAAAAATGCGACAAAATTTTGACATGCAATCTTAAAAATTCATATAAATTCAAAAGTCGCTGAGTTATAGTTGATCGAATTTTTGCGATAAAAAAAAACTTCAAATCCTGGTAGCGTGCCATTTTTTTTTTAATTTGAAACTTTCGTGATGTTTTTATTTTGTACGTACAACAAAATATTTTTTTGATATTTTAAGGACCAGCCTAATTACATATGTATCAGCAAAGTTAGTTTCCAAAACAAAAATATTTTTTAATAACAAAATTAAGTTAACCAAGAAATTGTAAAAAATGCTTAACTTATTTGTGGACTTTTCTCCGCTTTGGTTGAATTTGAATTAATTTAACTAAACTTAATTATTTTAATTAATTATAATTTGTTTTATTAAATTCAATTCAATAAATGCATCTCTAAAAATTATAAAAGCGTAAATAGCGGCAACGCTTGATTTTTTAATAATTTTTTTTTAAATAATAAAACTGCAAATATTTCAACACGCCAACTCACAATAACAGTAAACATATTTCCAATTCATTGCCGCAAATAAACGCAGTTTTGTAAACACAAAATACACACATACATAACTAATATATGAAAATCGTGGAAATTTGTTGAGTGTAAAATTTTAGAAAAATATTTTTGCGCTAAACTAAAGTTTTTATAATTTTTTTCGAGTTAATGTGAAACGTTAATTCTAATATTATGGCCTTATTCATAAAAAATAAAATAGATTCAGGAGCTTTACAAAGGGACATTTCGATTTATAAAGCAGTTCATGTCTTATTTATTTTTTATGAATTTGGGTGTTAGAAAATGAAAAATATTGTTTAAAAATACCTAATGTATAAAGTTTGCAAATTATTTGCATTGTGCGTGATGAATAACGAAGAATTCCAAAATTTATAAAATTGTTTAAAAAAATATCTTAGCTTTTACATAAAAAATTAGAATGTTAAATATATTTAAACTTTATACACATACATATTAGCACAGTGGCAATAGAAGGGGCAGTGCGGAGCTTGAAAAAAGGACGACAAAGTATTTTTTCATAATTTTTTGAAAACTTTTGACAATTTTTGTTTTGAAAAAAAACATTAAATTTTTAAACTCTCTTTTTTTTCTAATACAAAATTAAAATTAAACTAAAAATATCCTTTGTCTGCCTTGTGTTGGGCCACATTGGAAAATACTGATTTTTTTTTTTATTGGAAGAATTAAAATTTTGAAAACTTTAGATTTGTTCTTAAATACAAATCATATTGAAAATTCACTTAAAAAATATGTTTTAACCGGCTTTTATTTGGGGAAAAATGCGACTTTTTGGTATTGAAAAAATTAAAATTTTAAAAAATTTTTATTCACATGAAAACCCGTTTAGAAAATTTTCTTACACAAAATTTTCTTAATACAAAAAAAAAACTGAAAATAATACCTAAAGACAGCCACATAGCACTGAGCCACAAGAAATATTTGCCCCACTGCACTTACACATAAATCGCTGTACTTTGGCTAAATCTATACATACACACCTATTTCTAATCCTGTAAACTACCTTAAATGTATTTGTATGTATATAAAATTACAACAATTAAATATAGAAAAAAAATCTAAAAACTTGCAAAGACTAGTTTTTAATGGAGTTAATCTAAAAAATATAAAATTGAAAAAAAAAACAAATAATTATCTACTTTAGAAAAACAATTAAAAAAACTATTACGAAAACAATATCTTATGTTTAGTAACAACAATGAATCCTGATGTTAGTGTTATTTAATCCAAATACGACGAAAACAAAAATTATATTCCAAAAAACTACATACACAAATGAAAACATACATACATATATACATATTTTATTATACCATTTACTTAAAGTAAAAATAAGAAATATAAATATAAAATGAAATAGAATTGTGCTATATTATGTATACATACGTACATACATATGTACATAAATACACACATACTTGAAATAACTTTGTTTGAATTAAATAAAATCACATGCCACTTAAACTACAAAAAGCAAAAAAAACCTAATAAACGAAGCCTACGAAAAGACCACTAAATGGCGTAATATTTGAATTTTTGCAGCGTATAGAGTTCTGCAGTGGGATTCTTGAAATTGTTATGCAAAAAAAA